CTGCCCTAATCCCTCATGCTGTTATGACAGTCTCGGTGAATCATGAAGAAAAGCCAGACAAGTTCCTAGGAACTAACTTTAAAAGATAGCAGCAGAAAATGTTATTCTATCTTACTACATTAAATCTGACGCGTTTTCTTCATAAAGATACTCCTATTCTGAAAGATGATGAAATTGACCGACAAGTGGTTGTTGCGGTTGATGCTTGGAAGCATGCGTTTTACCTTTGCCGCAACTATATCTTGAATGGGCTTAATAATACATTGCACAACGTTTATAACCCTATTAAGACGACAAAGGAATTATAGAAATCGTTGGAGAAAAAAACACAAAACAAAGTATATTAGTTTGAAGAAATTCGTGGTGGGTAAATTTCTAAACTTTGTAATGGTTGATTCAAAAATTATGATTAGCCAAGTTCAGGATCTCCAACTCATTCTACATGAGATCCATGTTGAAGGCATGCCACTAAGCAAGTCTTTCCAAGTTGCTGCCCTAATTGAAAAGTTACCACAAGGTTTGAAGGAATTCAAGAACTATCTCAAATACAAGCGCAAAGAAATAACTTTAGAAGAATTGATTATGCGTTTGAGAATTGAGAAAGACAACCAAACTTGTGAGAAGAGGGTTGGAAAGCATCCTATGGAGTCAAAGGCTAATGTGGTGGAACATGCACCAAAAGCAAGAAATTGAAATTTACTGGAGAAAGTTCTTCGCAAGGCTCTAAGGGAGGGGAAACCAAGAAATTCAAGTTTAATGGAAAATGCTACATTTGTGACAAAGAAGGACACTGGAAGAAAGATTGTTGTAGCAAGCGTAAAGGTAAAGGAAGCTCAAGTAAAAACCTGCTCAGGACAATGTCATCGAAGTGGACCAAATCTCTAATGGTGTTAATGACATAAACCTTTTAGCCATTGTGTCTAAGATCAACCTTGTCAAAAATCTCAAAGAATGGTGGGTGGATACTAATGCTACTCGTCACATTTATGCCTACAAAAAGATGTTATCCTCCTATTTTATCGTGGACAATGGAGAATAATTGTTCATGGGGAACTCCTCGACTTCTAAAGACAAAGACAGGTTATTCTGAAGATGGCATCTGGAAAGAAACTCACCCTCAACAATGTGTTGCATGTGCCGGACATTCGCAAAAATCTTGTTTCCGGATCTTTGTTGAGCAAGAATGAGTTTAGGCTAGTTTTTTAGAGTGACAAATTTGTACTTACCAAAAACGGAATGTATATAAGGAAATGTTACATAAATGATGGCCTTTTTAAAATGAATGAAATGACTATTGTATCTTCTATAATTAATAAAAATACATCTTCTTCTTACTTGTTTGAGTCTTCAAATTTATGGCATGGTAGACTATGATATGTTAATTATGCCTCTTTGTGTAGATTAATTAATATGAAATGTTTACCTAAATTTGAAATTGATCCAAATCATAAATATGAAATTTGTATTGAGGTAAAATTAACTAAACTCATTTTCATTCAATTGAAAGAAGTACTGAACCACTTGAATTAATTCATAGTAGGATCTGTGATTTTAAATCAATTCATATCAGATGTGAGAAAAAATATTTTATCACTTTTATAGATGACTGTACTAGATATAGTTATATTTATTTAATTCGAACCAATTAAAATTTTATTCAATATAAGAATGAAGTTGAAAATCAACTTGATAAGAAAATTAAAATTTTAAGAAGTGATAAAGGTAGTGAATATGAATCATCTTTTGGTGATTTTTGTAAAGAATATGGAATAATTCATCAAACCACTGCTCCTTACTCATTTCAGCAAAATGGAATTGCTAAAAAGAAAAATAAGATTTTAAAAGAAATGATGAATGTCATATTAATAAGTTCTGAATTACCTCGAAACTTGTGGGGGGGAAGCAATACTTTCTACTAATTATATTCTTAATAAAGTATCCTGACAGAAGTGAATCAAACACTTTATGATATATGGCATGGGAGAATACCATCCTACAAATACTTAAAAGTGTGGCGGTGTTTGGCTAAAGTGGCTATTACTAGTCCAAAAAAGACTAAGACAGGTCCGAAAATCGTTGATTGCATGTTCATCAATTTCGCCAAGAATAATAGTGCATATCAGTTTTTAATTCATAAGTCAGAACACTCAGAAATGCATGTAAATACTATTATTAAATCTAGGAATGCATCGTTCTTTGAACATGTGTTTCCTAAGAAACTAGATAAGAGACTAGTACTAACAAAAGATCTTATGATGTTATTACTAGTCATGATCAAGAAAAAGATCAAGTACAAGAGCAAGAGATAGATCAAAATGAAGAAGATGAACCTAGGCGTAGTAAACGTGCTAGAACATCAAAATCTTTTGGTCTAAATTTTCTAACATTTTTGTTAGAAAATGAGCCTTTAACTTTTAAAGAAACTATATCCAGTCTTGAGGCTTCTTTATGGAAAGAGACTGTAAATAGCGAAGTTGAATCCATTTTGCAAAATTACACATGGGAATTGGTGGATTTGTCACTAGGTTATAAACCTTTTGGATACAAGTGGATTTTCAAGAGGAAAATAAAGTAGATGAATCAATTGATAAATACAAGGCAAGACTTGTAGTCAAAGGATATAGATAAAAAGAAGATCTTGATTACTTTGATACATACTCATCAGTTACTAAAATAACATCCATTAGAATGCTAATTGCCACTGCATCTTTATATAATATAGAAATTCATCAAATGGATATGAAAATAGTTTTCTTAAGTGGTGAGTTAAATGAAGAAATCTACATAGAACAACCAGAAGGATTTTCTGTTCCAAGGAAATAAAAGAAAGTGTGCAAATTGGTTAAATAATTATATAGTTTAAAACAAGCACCAAAGCAATGACATGAGAAATTTGACAAGGCAATGATGTCAAATGGATTGAAAATTAATGAATGTGACAAATGTATTTATGTTAAAAACACAAACAAAAGTTATGTTATAGACGCTGATAATCCATGAACACCTGTGCGGCGGCGAATCTGTCTTGAGGACAGAATGCCACACATTCGACTTGATTGTGATTTTGTTGTTCTAACTTTCCAGTACAAGAACTTCTTGAAAGCAATTTATTTACTTTGTTTCAGCTTTTATTTTTAACACAGAAGATTGTTTCAACGTAACCCTCCTCATCTATTAATTTTTTTCAATTTGGACTTTAATGACGAAAATACCCTTTTAACTATAGGAGTAAATTACACTTTACTCCTTTGAACTATTACTCAATATCACTCTACACCATTAACTAAAAAAAAAGTTTAATTTTTAATTTAAAATGCAAAATTTAAAAAAAATTTAATAATATTTCGTATTTTTTATTTTTAATAAACTTTTTTTTTCATATTTTAGTCAAAAAAATTAAATTTTTAGATGCACCCAAAAGTTAAATATTTGTGAAGATTTGTTTTTGAAAAATCATTAAAGATGAAAAAATAAGAAAATAAAAAACGAAAATATGGTACATTTTTATATTTCATTGTCTTTAGTGAATATTTTTTACAAATATTTTCTTGATTTGGTTTTCAATTTTTTTTTCTAACAAATTAAAAATTAATTTGGTGATAAAATCAAAAAACATAAATGATTGCCTTTTTAAAATGAATGAAATGACTATTGTATCTTCTATAATTAATAAAAATACATCTTCTTCTTACTTGTTTGAGTCTTCAAATTTATGGCATGTAGACTAAGACATGTTAGTTATGAATCCTTGCGTAAATTAATTAATATGGAATGTTTACCTAAATTTAACATTGATTCAAA